TGCCATTTATTGTCTTGCTTATAATAATGATAATAGTCATTTGTAAATATCATTTTAGAGCACACATTTGAAATCAGTAGGCGAGGCTGTAATTTTGCCAGCTGTTACTCTCATGAGGAGGCAGAAAATAATAGTTTTAACATGCCAAAAAGCTGCTGTGTCGTTTATTGCACCTCAAACATTAAAACAAATCCAGAGTTACGTGTTTCTGTACTTCCTCTAAGAAGAAAGGACAGTAACAGAAGATCTCTGTGAAGCCAGATGTGGTGGTGTTAATGCGATATTATATCCGAAAAAAAATTCCGTTTAGGATGGCCGAAGACACTACACTACCCATAATCCCCAGCTATCCTTTGGCACTACAGTCCCGTTGACAAACCCCGTGATTAATCTTCAAGCTCTGGGATTGGATGCTGGAGTGGCAGTGCGCCAAGGTTACACTGAGCATCTTATATACTTAACTGTATAATGGCTATTTTGCACATCCCTTTCAAGATTTCAAGATTTTATAAGGTTTATTGACATATACACACAACTACGGTGTAGTTATGCAATAAATGAAAAACTTGGGTCACAGGTTCCTCAACAGCGCATTACAAGACATCTATCAATATGTGTGTACCTCCACCATTAAACTGTCAAATTCTGCACATTTCTTATACTATCTACATACATAAGAGTATAATTAATGTGTATAATATCAGTTAAAATAAGTGCTTCAACATAGTTAACATTGCAGGAAAGCAATATATTAGACGTTAAGCACTTTGTCAGGCTTAATATTTATCTGTAGCTTTTTTCTTATTTGAAAGAAGACCTTAACCTAAAGTATTCTTTAATGTGTTAATAAAGGTTAACTAATTTGTCTGTTTTGCACATCCTCATATTAATATCTTTGTACATCCAGCACTAAACTGTTTTATTGTAGAGATGACTTAAAGTATCTTCATTTTTTATATTCTATATTTCTATCATTGACCTTCTACTAATTCTGAAAGTATATACTCTTAATATTGTTTTCATCAAATAACATTATTCAACAAAAATAACATTATTCAACAAAAATAATTCAATAACGTGCTTTAACCACTAGGCGGTGCAGACAAGGTACACACAGCATACTAATTATAACTTTGTATTATTAGTGTAGGACACTTATGTATGTATAACATCTGAAGATGTGTAGTTTTATTCATGTTTTTACATAATTTTACAGGACATTGCTATACTATTTTTCATGTTTTACTTCTAACATTAATATCTGATTTGTAAAACATCACAGACAGAAAGGCATATCCGTCATTTAATGGTAAGCTATTGAAATTGTGATTCCATAGATGTGTCTCCCATCGCCCAAATCCCCTGACTATTCGCTCAACTCAGTATTTACATTCTTATGTTCAAAGAAAATCAGTAATATCTTTAAAAATTACAAGTCCTTTTCTATCAGCTGTGCACCGTTATGGTGTAAATACAGCCTATCTACCAATTGGATCAAATATAAAAGTCAGCCGAATTAGTGTTGATACTGCAAGGAGACGTATTGTGTGAAAATAAATGCAAGATGTTGTTTAATTGTTGATATATTTATGATCCAAGTTACATATTCAGTTTTGGCGGTAGTTCTCCTGTTTGTCCAGAATTCTTCTCATCAGGGCTCTATACATAAAGAACTACGTCAGATATGTAATATGTAATGCAGCCGAACCGTGTATTTGTATTACAATGCCGTTATGTGATGACTTTCAAAGAGAAAAGCAAGAACACTCGGAATAAAGTATTTTTTTTTTTTTAAATGTTTTCGGATATCATATCGCATTAACATCATATCCCAACATGCATTGTGGCTAAAACATCCAATCAACGAGCTTCAAGCTGAGGATCTTGGGTAATCTGTTCAGTGGGTTTGTGGTGTGTATTGCTCGAAATGTCCCTTATACTGTAGGCCTACGTCTGTTTCCAGTGACTTTATTTACGGCTAAAAAGCATGCTAAAAAGCCCAAGATTATAGAATTAAACGAATAAATAAAAACAAGGATAATTGTGTGTTATTGTTGAGTAAATAACAGTGTGTTATTTAGAAAATAATAACAAATTAGATTTCAGTATTTTGAGGCTCTAAACCCATTTATTTTCCTCACAGACGGGAAAAAAAGTCCGACATTATACGATTTAAAATAAAAACAAATAAATAAAAGATAAAACACTGGCATGTAATTTACGTTAGAATAAATAGAATGGTTTTGAATAATTGATGAGTAAAATCTACGTCACTTTACAGCCCGCCCACTTTTGGGGAAACCAACGCTGTCATTTGAACGGCGATCAAGCCTGAAGCCACAGAGATCTTCTGTTACTGTCCTTTCTTCTTAGAGGAAGCACACAAGCACACACACACACACACACACACACACACACACACACACACACACACACACACACACACACACACACACACACACACACACACACACACACACACACACACACACACACACACACACACCACACACACACACACACACACAACACACACACACACACACACACACACACACACACACACACACACACCACACACACACACACACACAAAACCAACTGCACTTTTAAGAGCCTCTCTCTCTCACTGTCTCTTTCTATCACTCTCTCACTTTCTCTTGTTATCACTCTCTCACTTTCACTTTTAATCACTCTCCTGTCTTTCTCTCACTCTTCATTTTGTGTATTGTTTGTATTATTTGTATGCCATGTCCCTCAACCCTGAAGTGAGGGTCTTTGAGGATCCCAATGAGGCCACAGTGCACATGGCATCATTGATTAGCGAGGCTCATCTCCATGAGGCCAGGGTGAGGCTTTTCATGATAAGCAAATACCCAAGTCTGTAATATAATCATTGTTATTGCTTTTTATTGATGTAATGTAAAGGGACAGTTAGTCCTTTTTATGCAACCGTTAAAGAATTGCTCAAATATAAGTGCTGCTGTCTTATGTTGTATTACAACTTTGTTGTTGATCTCAACCTCTGAACAAATATAGACTGCCATGGCCACGGAAACCCCTGCCATCCCTCCGGAAAAGAAAAGAAAAAGCAGGAAGTGACCTCTTTCTAATCCAGTGGTCACACGCAGACGTGAGAGACAACGGGAAACACAACGCCCCGCATCAGGTTAGTTCTTTACTATATCATGATTTCTAAGTCTAAGAATAAAGATTATTTTGGTGTACACAGTATGAAATTATATAATTTTAAAGATACCTCGACAAATCTGACAAAACATTTTCAAATTAAATCAAGATATTTTAAGAGCCTGTGACTGATAATCCTTGCTTGTGTTGTATTTTTTTTAAATATGCACCTCAATTTGGATAAAAGTATGCCAAATGTAAATTGTCATTGTGATGCTGTGGTAATATGTTCTTAGTTTCATTACCTGCAGTCCTTACAGAGCATTTTCATATTACAATTAATTGGTGTAATTTTAGATTGATTGAAGGGTTAAGCAAAAATGACTGTCTCTGCAGCTTCACAAGCGAGAGAAGACAATCCTGTGCATGAGGAAGGCCTTCAGCTAGAACATCAAGAGTTTGGTAGTCTTGGTGAGTATATTGATTATAACAGCAGTTGACTGGCACGACAGTTTTTCCCAATGTTTCCATTTGTATACTCATCTAGTTAATCATAATAAAGTATTGACTGTTTCATGACAAGTGAATGCGTACAGTATTTGGTATAAGTATCACTTGCTAATATTGCTTTGGATGCATATGATGATTCATAGCATGTTGCTATTATTAGTCTGCATATATTTTTCCAACTCAAAAGTGGTTCGGTATACTACCTTCATATCCATCATACCAGTTTTAGGGTGGCGGCTTAACAGCTGTTTTATTTTTTAGAAACTCATCTCCAAGAGTTAAGGGACACCCTAACTGCAGTCCAGGTTCCGGAGGCAACAAACGGAACGGTTTCTGCCTGGGCACAAAGGCAGCCTCTCACAGATGTGAGAATGAAAACGGCTAGGCCAATGCTTTTTAATGCAAAACTCTCAGCTGAGAGAATAGCCATTCAGAAGTGCCACAGATGCTGTGCAAAAGAAGCGGCTATTAGGTGCCTGGACTGTGTTCCACTGGACATAGAGTTCCTCTGTGCAACCTGTGACATGGAGGCCCACAAGAGGAATATCTTCCATGACAGAGAGGCTGTGTTCAATGGATTTCTGGAGCCCATTCCCCCTACAGCTGCTGTGGTGGTGGATGAAAATGGCCAGCCTCAATTTTGTGAACAAAGTATGTAAAGGTTAACATTACATTACATTACAATGTCCCATTATAGTGTAGTTCCCATAATTAGGTGCGAATGGGAAGTGTACATAGCTGATTGAAAAAAGTATGATTGGTTTTGACTAGGGCTGCAAGATATGTGGAAATTATGCAACATTTTATTGAATATCTTGATAATCTGGAGAATTAAGGAAAAACTGTAAATACACCCTTCCTAATTTATTTTCTATATTGCAGTATGTCAACTGCCTGTTCCTACTCCAAGGTCAATCTGTGAATGCTCTGATGACGTCACAGTTACTCCTTGGAAGCATATTTCTGTGGTCACCATCAACGGTATGTTGTTCTGAAAGCCCTTCTTTTTGTACAAGAAGTACTGAGGTTAAAGACCTGCTTTTGTATCGGTACTGGCCAGCTAGCACCAGCTGCCAGACGCTTTACAAATATGATGTGTTCACCTCATTCGAGCACATGAAGGTGACAGCACCAGCCATGTCCAGGCAGGCATTTCTGAAAATGTTGGAGCACAGATCTGTTCAAGCTGGACGGGTAAATCTGCCTGAATCACACGGAAACATACAAAAAACAATATCATATTACTGTATACCATATCATTAATTGTTGGCATTGCTTTCAAAACAATTACTAATTCACTTTTTTTAAATCAATATACAGACAGGTAGTATCTGTGCTGATACATTTCAGTGAAGCTTCTTCGAGTTTTGCTTCTGTCAGTACAAACAAGAGGATATGTGCCAGGTCCATCACTTTGTTTGTCCAGCATGTTCTCCAGACATGTTGGCTGTCTGCTGTGATGGAAACCGCAAGCATTACCGCTTTTCCAAGTCAAAAGGGTAGGTATAGGTATTAATGAAAATGATAAAGAACACACCGCTAATACAAATAGTATCCCTTGGGGTTGTGTTTGAGTAGCCATAACAGACATTAAAACAAATCATAGTAATGTAGTGATTTTTATTATTGACTTGTATGTTAACTTATCATGGACAGGACTGAGGAGCCGCCAATCTATGAGGGCTTGTTCCTGGCCAAGGACGAGGAAGTCGCAACATTTGTTGACCTTGTCAGAGGCAACATGAAAAGTGTGCGGTTTTTTTCTTATTATGATAGTTGCAGTTACACCTATGGTGTTCTTTTTTATATATGTCAAAACTTGTGTGTAATAAACTGACTTCATAGGGAAATGACAGTGCCGTCTGTGGTACTGCCAAATTCACCGCTGGCAGAGAGATGTCAAAAAGTCTGGTGCCCAGATAGACGAGGAGGGCATTCAAGTGGCAGTTTGCAGGTATGTATTTGTAAGTGTGTCTGTGTATATGTGTTTGGTTCTTGAGTCTGGTCTCATTATTTCAGTTTTAATAGCAATCCAAGTCTAAGTCTTTGTAAGAATTGGAAGCATTAAACACTTTTGATTGTGGAGCGGAATTGATCCATCATTTGTAGCATCCAAGTGATATTTTTTTGTTATAGCCACCTAGATGACAGAGATGAGTGCTTAAGCCAGGCCTTGCTGTGTCAGTTTATTATTAACAACTAGATTTTCTTCTGATGAATCAGACATGGGTTTCTCTTTAGAGGACTGAACCACTTCCGTGGAGAAATATACGCGTACCCAATGTTTCTCCAAAAAGAGATGTCCAAGAAGGCAAATGTTGACTTCTTCTGTATGGATGTAACCCTCACTGTCATATTGCACATCCACAACAATGTTTAAAATGGCCTATGCCTCAGTCATTTTAGATGATATTGATATTGTTGTCATGTCAATTAAAAGTTTATCTTTGTAACGCTCAATCACAAAATGCTGCTCCTGCTTCTTAGGTACTGGCCATACCTTAACAAAATAGCCGAGGGATTACCAGAGCTTCTGCCGTTGACAGAAATGAGGCAATTTCTTAGCGTGATGCATGCTAAAGCCCATACAGCAAAATGTGAGGTACATAACATCTTTAATGCAAAGGACTTTTAAATGTTGTGCATGGCATGCCTTATTGGATATCAAAAACTTCTAAAGAAATGCTACATAACACTACTTGCGCTGTGTTGCAGGTGAGATGGGGTGGCAGAAGTCAGGACGGGGCAGGAAACACAGTGGGAGAGGAAGTAGAGCAGGTATGTTGTTAATGGCATTATTGTAACTGTATGGATGAAGAAGTCTTAATAGAAAGCAGTACAAATATGTATGTGTCATTTCAGTGACAAGCCTGTTGATTAGTTTAAAGCATATCCTTTATGTCTGAGTTCAAATGAAAGATAGGCAGCTCATATGTTCAGCAACAATAAATGCATGCACATTGTAGGAAGTCAGTACACAAGTTTTCTCTTAAACCATCCAGTTCAAGATCTATGATGTAGGTAATATTGTTATGTAATGGTGACCGAACATTAATTGTAACATTCATTATAGGTGAACAGCTTTCTCTCCAGGGCAGCTCTGGTCACAAAATACATGACAAAAGCAGGTTGGTATTAACACTACACACTGTGATAAGGCAGCCCTGATAGTATTTTACAGAGAGTTTCCTCCGTAAAAACATTATTGGTGTATTACTTTACTGTAATTACCAGTTCAACAACCTTTTAACGATTGGGTTTAGTCATGTCTATCAGGTTTCTCACTCAGTATTGCCTTTTTGATGTGAATACTTACTTTTGTTTGTGGATATATTTTTGTCTTTTTTAGGAAGAGTGAACATGCTCACTCAACAGGCCATGGGTTGGAACAGAAGGAAGAGGGACAACCTTCATCAAGTTTTAGCACACATATATGTCAAAGTAAGGGCAAATTACAATTGTCTTCTCATCTGACATTACATATTTATGAAGGATGTCTGCAATGTAACCTCATGGCTATATACATTATGTTCTCCCTTATCCACACTTCCTCTTGCAAGTCAGATGGTGTCATGGAATTTGTCAACTGTTCTTCTGAAGGTCTTGTACTGAAAACTGGTGTTCTTTGCATTATGGTGTTGCATGGCGCTTTTGCTCTGACATTTTCTTTTTTTTGTAAAGATCACAGAGAGGGCAAAGGTGGAAGCTGCCAGCTTCAGCGACTTCAGAAAGGAGCACAACCTTGATCAGGAGACCATACAGCAGTGGGTGTATGATGTCAGGCAATGGGCGGTCACAGGTAAGACATACCACAGGTTTTCCATATATACATCTGTTAATTACTGTAAGTTTAGACATACAATATAAGTTGGCTATATGTTGAAAGTGAGACTGTCACTGATTGTATCTCTTCTCCAATTGTTTTTTTGCAACTATTTAGAGAGAGAGTCTACGCCCCAGGGTGTACTGAAGGGCTGAGGGTGGATATTGAGAACATCACCGTCACTCTTTTGCGCAGGAAGCAAGATCTGTATCGTCAGCATGGTTTGTTGTCAAACGTAGTTATTGAAATTACACTTCAAAAACAACAAAAACATTCTGGCACCATGACAGTTTTGTTTACGTTTCACTTTGCAGACAGCAACCAGGCAAGGCAAATAAAGAGGAAGAGAATGAGAGAGCTGAAGAAGAAGCTTCGCGAAAAAGTTGTGCAATACAACACCGGAGTGCAGGAAGAACATATTGACGAGGAGTTGGCTTGCAGTCTGACAGAGGGCTACATCCTACCATGGGAGAGGCATGCAAATGGTAGGATAATTGCTAGTTTGGCGTGTTGTTTTTTTAGTCCATACCAAAATATGACAGTTTATCGTGGGGCAGAAAAAGCAATGGTGATACCTGCAAATATATAATATTTGTTATTAGTTTACATTATAGAGAACCAATGCTATCGCTACAAAGATTTGTGTCTCAGAAATGAAAATCATTCTGTAATAATATAATTTATGAATAAATATTCCTTGTCCACTACTCCATTCCTTTCCTCAACCTAAAGGCAACACCTTCAGGTTGAAGAGGTCTGTCTTTTACCAGGTAATGCTGGTCAGACGTTTGGAGGAGGAGCAGAGCATCCTGGTGAAAGAGATGTCGCAGCACATCATGTTCCTTCTGAAGGAAGTGCAAGAAGTAGAAGCACTGAGAGGACAGACTTTGGAGGGCATCAAAACCAGCAGTATGTCTGAGATCTTAACATTTGAATATTTTCATCCACTCAACACATTGCATGCCTTACATAAGTAGAACACATCTGTCACTGTGTCAGGCCGAAGTGAAATAGTAAATTACTGAAACTATTCATTATCAAGATCATAATCGATTATTTTCTGTCTATTGACTAATTGTCAAGCACTATATCAAACATTAATCAACATATCCCATTTGGCACCCAATATATAGTAACATCCTTCAGTTTAAGATGGATTTACCTATTTTGTAGTGTTTTTACATATGCAGCATTGTACAATGCAAAGAGATTTGCAATTGTCATGGTTTGTTTACATTGAGCCCTTTTTCTGTGTGGTTATTCCTCTACAGATTTCGGTGACCTGACAGAAGATGCTGCACATGGGCTCAAGAGTGTCCTCAGTCGGAGGTGGCACTTCCTCAAAAGCCAACACAAACAGGCTGTACATGCGTACAGCGGTGTAGCCGCTTTGGAATGCCATGATCTTCAATTACAGCAGGACATTGAGGAGTCGGATGACAATGACTACACTAGCCCTGAGTCTGAGGAAGAAGACCTGTAAAGGTTTCTGCCAAGCAACACAGAGGCACTGGAGAGCTCTTTCACAAGCGACCTGTCACATCCACACGCTGGCGCACGCCATAATAACGACAAAAAACACATTTAAAACACACTTAAAGCCATACAAAATAAAGACATTATAAAACACTATATATGAGAACAATATGAAACTATGCACTTGTTTCGCCCGACTGAGTTCATAATAATGTGAAAATGTGTTTATATTTTGTACTTCCGTTTATTTAAAAGCGCTTTGACTTGCTGATGTGTATGAAAATAAATTGCCTTGCCTTTATATTAAACTGCCTCTTATTACTCAAACAAGTGCTATACAATGGTTGTTTTCTTGACACTGCATTTTGTCATTCGTTGATTATGAACTATTAATGTGAATACATTGTAAATAGAGTTCATACAATAACAATTATTTATTAGTAACGTGCATAATGCAGGGTAAATACCAACACATTCTCACTCCCAACTCGTGCTTCTAATTTTGTATTATTTTCTAAACCACACTGTTATTTACTCAACAATAACACAATTATTCTTGTGTTTATTCATTTGTTTTGTAACCGCGGCCGCACACGGCCTAAAGTTTAGCTGTTCTACTGATCAAAGTTGCCCTCTGACTCAACTTGATCAAACAGCAAAAACTCCACAGATTCAATTGAAAGAAACCCCGATACAGTTCAACCCGGAGAGACGTGATGTAAGAATTACATATTTATTGTTTACACGTCATATGAATGAAATGATTGCCATGATAGTACAACAGGAGAATGTAATGGTGTTTGGCGATTAGGCCCCCCGGTTTGCAGGATAATCATTCAGGAGGGAAAGCACCGCTCCGATGAAATCCCCAGGGTCTAGACACTGGTGGTGGTGATGAGTAGGTGAGACCAGTCTGAAGGAGGAAGGTTTAGCTTTGTCCTGAAGGAGACGGGAGGCGAGAGGGGTGGAGGCGGGTTGCGTGTGATCATCTGCAATGACAACTGACAGGGAGGAAGAGCAGGTATTTAAGGCATTTAGCATGTGCAGCGATTGGCTGCTGAGGCGTGACGCCCTCATATTTAATGAGGGGGGAAGGGAGCCATAGAGTGACGTGTGAGTGACTCGAGTTAGGTCTTCCTTATTGAACTTGCGCTAAAGCTTTCATTTGGCAGTCAACAAAAAGGCCTAAGACAAGGATTTTCTCCCAAGAGTATGACATTTATTATCAAATAGACACATTTACAAACAATATTTTAACCAGTAAAAACAACAACAAATTATTAGGAATTAATCTACTATGCTATTTAAAATGGTATCCAGCATATAAAAACCGACTAAATGAGCTCAGACAGTTACTGTTGGGAGGGGGAAACAAGCAGGTCAAATCTGAATACTACTCACCGCCACTCACACGTGCCCTGTACAGACACAGCAACTGAAAAGAAAGTGATAAATTAAGAAAAGTGCAAAATTAACTAAACACACACACACACTTAAGGGGCAGTGAAGTGCACGTGAGGGCCCAACACCGCTGAATCCCAACTCCCAAGGCTGCCGCTCACGTCAGGGGTGCTGGATCCCTCAACAAAAGACACAAAGCACAATAGT